AAACCAACATATTTTTGAATCATTCATATTCTATGTGTTAAGTCAGGATTCAGAGAAGGGAAAGATCAAAGTATACTTCCCATAAGGAGAAGGCTTTGTGGAAGAAGTGAGGATTGACCCAGGCACTGAAGGTTGAGTAGAATTTGAATTGTTGAGGAGGTGGAAGGGCAAGATGTGCCTAGTGGAACAACATAAGCAAAAGCTCAAATCAGAGGCAGGCAGGAGTCTGGCCACTTAGCTCAGTTGGTTAGAATACAGCCTTATAACCCCACAGTGATGGGTTTGTATTCCCTTACTGCGCAGCTGCCAAAAAAAAAAAAAAAAAAAAAAAAGGAAGGAGCATGATGGGGGGGGGGGGAAGACAGATTTCTGTTGGGAACTTGTTGGAAACAAGGCTGAAAATATGAAGCAAGGTCTTACCCTCAGATATCAGGCTAAGGAGTTAAATTTATAGGCTTATAGGGCTGGCTAGTTAGCTCAGTTGGTTAGAGCATGGTGTTGAAAACACCAGGATCCAGGGTTCACATCCCTGCACCAGCTAGCCATGCTCCCCCTGCAAAAAAAATTTATAGGCCATGAAGAGTTACTATGAGGGATGGCCAGGTTAGCACAGTTGGTTAGAGCGTGGTGTTACAACACAAAGGTATGGATCCCTATACCAGCCAGCCACCCAAATAAAAAAAAGAGTTACTATGGGTTTTTTTTATTTTTTATTTTTATTTTTTTAAAAGATGACCCATAAGGGGATCTTAATCCTTGACTTGGTGGTGTCAGCATTACGCTCTCCCAAGTGAGCGAACCAGCCATCCCTATATAGGGATCTAAACCCGTGGCCTTAGTGTTATCAGCACCACACTCTCCCAAGTGAGCCACAGGCCAGTCCTTGTTTTATTTTTAAGATTTGTTTTATTTTCATTATAACTTACTTTGGTGAACTTAAAGTATAAATATTTTTATGTATAAATATATTTTTTAATATTAAAAGAACTAGAAAGAATATACAAAATATTTTTAGGAATTAAAAAGAACATTATAGTCATCCATAATCCCACTGGCCAGTGGTAACCATTTTGATTTTTTAAAAGAATTTTAAGAGTTTATTGTGCCTACAAAAGAACAGTTTGCGAATTGGGAGAACTCAAACCGAAAGACAGCATGAAGTCTCAATTTTACAGCAATTACAGCACAGTTTATAGAGCATAAAGGAGGAAGTACTTTTACCTTTTTTCTTTTTCCAGTCTTTTTTATATGCATGTATTTTTTATAAACTTGAGATCACTGCATAATATATTTTTTATTTAGCATTACATAATACGCATCTCCCTTTTAGTACACTCCTTTTATTAGAGCTATTAGAGCGTGGTGCTGATAACACCAGGGTCCACGGTTCAGATCCCTGTACCGGCTAGCTACCCCCCACACCCCACCCCAAAAAAAGAAACCAACATTTTATTTTTTTATTTTTTGTCCTTTTTTGTGACCGCGCTCAGCTAGTGAGCGCACCGGCCATCCCTATATAGGATCTGAACCCGCGGCGGGAGCGCTCCTGCGCTCCCAGCGCCGCACTCTCCTGAGTGAGCCACGGGGTCAGCCCAGAAACCAACATTTTAAAAATTATTATATGACATTATCCATTGTGTAGATGTGCCCCAAATAAGCAAGCAAACAAACAAGTAGTTGTGGACAATAGAAATTCATAGCTGTTTCTCAGTTTACAGTTTCCCCTGCTTTCTGCTCTGTAGTCTTTAACCTTGATCCTTGTGCTAGAGAAGAATAGATGTCTATCCTGGATCTGATCTTTGCCCTCATGATTTGGTTGCATGTGACCATCAACCATCCACCTTGTTGACCAGTAATTCCCTCCCTCCCCCTCAGCACATCTCATTTCCCCTGTCACAGTTGCCTGTATCCCTGGAGTGCTATACGGGGCCTCCTGAAGACAACCTGGCTCTCCTTTGTCTCTACTTCCGGGCCCTGGTTACTGGTGCACTCCGTCCACACTGGTGCCCTGTGCTCTATGCTGTGGCTGTGGCTCATGTCAATAGCTTCATCTTCTTCCAGGACCCAAAGAGCTCAGTAAGTTACATGCCCATCTTCAGACGGAGGAAGGGAGCTAGCGATTGAGTTGCCTCCGGGCCAGCTGAGGAAGAGAGGGTCAAGCTAGGCCCTTGGTGGGTACCAGCCCTTGGCTCAATGCCACCTCTCCCTGTTCTGCTTCTAGGATGAGGTAAAAGCTGCCCGCAGGAGTATGCTGCAAAAAACTTGGCTGCTGGCTGATGAGGTAGGGTTGGGGCCATTAGGAGGGTGGGAGTTTAGAGGGTCTTGGGGGACAGAGACCTCCACAGGATCTCACTACTCACTTCATAAAGTTTTTTCCCTCTGCAGAGTCTCCAGCAGCACCTCCTCCATTATAAGCTTCCCAACTCTACCCTCCCAGAGGGCTTTGAGCTATATTCCCAGTTGCCACCTCTGCGTCAGCAGTACCTCCAGAGACTAACCTCAGGACTCCAAAATGGGATATCAGAGACCTAGAACAGTTACTATGGATGGAGAGATGGATACATTCTCCTGGAGTTCACCAACAGATGCCTGGCCAGACAGAAGGGCATTGTATCCCAAGGGAAGGCAGGAGACAAAGCAGAAGGCTTGCCTTCCTGGGAGCAGATTGTTTGAGCTCTTTTGGAGCAGAATGAGCCCTACCATTACATCCTGACTTCTGAAACTCAGTATCTGGGGCTTCTGAGGGTCTGTGCTGGGAGTAGAAGGGTGACTTGGCTATTTACCCCCTCTTTGGGAATAGGACAAACTAAGTACACCTCTCCTTACCTACGTCCAACCCCCACCTCAGGCCATGGTATGTGAATGCTATAGCTGTGTATTAAAAAAAATTTTTTTAAATCTGGGAATATGATTTGGACTGATTTCAGTCATGTTAGTTCAGGGTTGATATCCAGAGGTGGGTTATCCCAAAAAAGGAGCAATACTACTGTGAGAGAAAGAGAAAGAGGGGGAAAGAATCATGAGTGGGAGATGAAAACTGAGTCCACATCTGGGGATGAGAGATATGTGGGTCCTAGTTCCTGGCTGAAGCCAAGCCAGAGCAATGCCCTTGGGAATGGGGTACATCTGGACAAACTCTCAGAAGCCCACTAGAAGTACAGATGTCTTTAATGAGGTCAGCATCTAGTCTCCTTATGGTCCACTATTTTCATCAACTGCTAACCTGAGACATGAAGAACCCAAAAATCATACTGATGCAGTAGCTATCCTGTAACGCCATTTCCACTGTGAGCTTCATTGGTAGCAGGCAATGCCTGGGGAGGAGCAGATCAAAGCATAAACTTTGGTTTATCTCTTTATTTTGGTAGAGTTTCTAGATTGTTCTTTTGTCTGAATTCTAACACTTAGGCTCTATTACACTGTCATTTGCTGTGTGCAATTACTTATCCCTGTGTTTGCAGGTCATCAGGGTGAGTGCAGTGTGCCAGGCCTGGCCCTGTCAGTAGGTGTAGAGAACCCACTCCCTGTAAACGGAGCTGCTGAATGCAGAATTAATAAATGGGTTTTATTAAGTAACTACTATATCTCAAGTAGCAATGGTTCTCAAACATATGTGACAAAAAACACTTGGAGGGTATATTAAAACAGATTGCTAGGCCCTACCACCAGAGTTCCTGATTCAGAAGGTCTAGGGTGAAACCCAAGAATTTGCATTTCTAGTGAGTTCCTAGGTAATACTGATGCTGCTGTCCAGAACCAACCACAGTTTGAGGACCACTGGCTTACAGGGGCCTTGTAAAGTGAATTCTGTGACCTCATAATGTGGTATCTACAGACTTAATTAGGGCATGGGTACCAGTTTTTACAAAATCACTGTTGTGTCTATTCCTATCATTAGACACTCAGGCTTTACCAAGTAGCTAACTACTGTAGCTTCTTTTTTCAAGTATTTTATATTAAACACAGTCCTCAGCCTTTATTTTTTTTTTTAAAGATGACTGGTAAGGGGATCTCAACCCTTGGCTTGGTGTTGTCAGCACCCTGCTCAGCCAGTGAGCAAACCGGCCATCCCTATATAGGATCCTAACCCGCGGCCTTGGTGTTATCAGCACCGCACTCTACCGAGTGAGCCACGGGGCGGCCTAGTCCTCAGCCTTTAAAGCAAGCATTTTGAGCAAAAGATTGAGGACCCAAGACACAAAACCACCTGAAGGCTGAGTGGCCCTCACAGTTATAGGGTGCCTTGGGTTTTACAGAGCAATTTTTTTTTTTTTTTTTTGGTGGCTTGCTGGTAGGAGCAATTTCCTTTCATATGATTTTACAGGTGGTGGGGAAACTGTCTCAGAGCAGTTGTAGTCTGTGCTACATCGCCTGTTAACTAGGGATGCTAGTACTAACACTCAAAAGTTCTGATATCTACCCCAGTCTTTTACCTGATCACAGGAAGAAGTTGTGCATATAACAGTGCAACGGAATTGTACGAGGTGCACACAGAGATCCATGTTTCTGAGGGTAGCAGAGAGGTTCAGCCTTGCAGTCACAAAGGTGCTGAAAGACATAAGTGATGGCAAGTAACTTAGAGCAGTTTAAAGAGTACTTTCCATGTGTGATCACCACCACCTCCACAGAAGCGCGCACCCCATTGCTCCTGTCCTCGGAAACCTAGAATCCTGTGCTGGGGTGTGGCTCGCCACTTTCTCACATTCCTGCCTCAAAAGGATGGGGAACCTCCTCCCCAGGCAGCCAGCAACAATCCCGACGGCTGGACAGCCCCCGGGTGAGGGCTCCACAGGGTTTCTCCCGGAAGCGTGGGGACCTCGGTGCCCACATGCCACGCCCTTTCCTCCTTCGGCATCCCGGGGTCTGAGCTGGGAGTGGCCAGACCAGCTTTGAGTTCCAGGGGTGTCTCGCGGGCAGCTGGACACTCCTATAAGCGGCGGCCAGGGCCACGGTGGCAAGGTGTGAGACATCAACCTCTTCTGGAGCAGACCCAACAGGCGATGTGCCGCTCAGGCCGGCTGCTGTTGTGGCTCGGAGCCGCGGGTAAGTTCTGTCTGGCGGTCATGGAGCCATCCAGCCAGAGGCACCTTTCCAGGCTTGGGGACGGCGCTCGCAGCAGAGCAGGTCCCACTGTTTCCTCCAGAGGCCTCGAATCCTTGTGGCCAAAGCTCTCCGGTCCGTGCTGTTGGGGTACGGACGGAAAAGCTCCCGAATCCGACGATCCAGTCACGCAGCTTGGGAAGGAGGAACAAGCCCTCGGGTCTCGGCACTGCCCGGAGGTGGGGCCACCATCTAAGTCGAAGAAAGGATGCCGGGAGGGGGGAGGCCTGCAGGACCGGGCTCAGTGCAGCCCCCAAGTCATTCACTAGGAAGGGCTCTTGAGGACAGAAACTAACAGAGGTATCGCCGGGCACGCCGCAGGGCTCGGGCGACCGGAGTTGGGTTGTGGCTGACTTCCAGGCGTGCGCTGGCTGGGCGGGATTAGGGGTGTGGCTGCCAACAGCAAAGGCTAGCTGTTGGGGGGGGGGTATCTCTTTATCCCTGTTATCTCCCATGTCCCCCTCCCCCATTAATATCCTGCATGCTCTCCCAACCCCGCTGTCTCCCTGTCACCTTTCAGGCGCCATTCTCTGCTCCAGCTCGAGGTCCCAGGCGCCTTTTCTACCATCCTCGCCCTTGCCGCTGCCAAGTCCCAGTCCCCGGGACCTGAAAGACTCCGCCCCGCCTAGCGGCTTGGAGCCAGCCTCTCCCCTAAATCCCGCAGGTGAGCTCGGAGCTCCTCTCTTCTCTTCAACTCATCATACCCAGACCCCTAGGCCGAGCCAGGGGCTCCACGACTCTCTCCTCCCTTTCTGCTCCCAGGCACCGGGGGGCCTTGGGTGTTCTCCACCTGCGGAGCCAGCGGCCGGCGCGGGCCCACACAGACACAGTGTGACGGGACGTACGCGGGGAGCAGCGTGGTGGTGACAGTGGGAACCGTCGGGCCGCTGAGAGGCGTGCAGCTGTGGCGGGCGCCAGGCCCCGGCCAGTATCTGTAAGTGCTGGGCAAGGGTCAGAGTCTGAGGTTCTACCGTCAGGAGAACGAAGGCCACGCACCTTGCGTCTTGGGGTATTCCGCAGAGACATCCAACCCAGGCCATCTTGACTGCCCTCCAGTGGAACACGGGGAAGGGTGGCAAGAGTCGCCACCGAACTAGCCCGTCCCCAGTAGCACAGAGGCACCGCCATGGGGTGGCTTGACAGCCTCCCCTCATCTCCATTAAAACTCTTGAAATAAGTTTAAAATCTAATTTTTTGGTGTACAAACCTAGTCTTACCATCCCTTCAAAATCGATCGTAGACGCTGAGTCCCACAGATAAATTCTGGAGCCACCTCTGCCCGAGGCGGCCGGCCGAGGACTCAGCGCCCGCTTCCCGCCCTCTTCCCGCAGGATCTCTGCCTACGGAGCCGCGGGAGGCAAAGGCGCTAAGAACCACCTGTCGCGGGCGCACGGAATCTTCGTCTCGGCTGTCTTCTCCCTTGGTCATGGGGAGCCGCTTTACATCCTCGTGGGGCAGCAGGGCGAGGACGCTTGTCCTGGAGTAAGAGGAGCCCATGGGAAGGGGACGGCCCAAACGCGGGGGGCGAGGGCTTCATGTGTGTTGGGGGAGGGGCATCCCTTCCCTGGTGCTCGGACACCACCGCGAGGCGAGGGTCCCGGGCCCCGCCGATTCCGGCCCCCCGTGCCTGCAGGGAAGCCAGGAGAGCCAGCTCGTCTGCCTCGGAGAGTCTCGGGCCGCTGAAGAGCACGCGGCGACAAATGGGACGGAAAAGATCCCGGAGTCGCGGCGCTGGGCCGGAGGGGGCGCCAGCTCGTCTGCCTCGGAGAGTCTCGGGCCGCTGAAGAGCACGCGGCGACAAATGGGACGGAAAAGATCCCGGAGTCGCGGCGCTGGGCCGGAGGTGGCGGGGGCGGCGGGGGCGCCACCTACGTCTTCAGGGTACTTGCTCCCCTCGGTGCTAGCCGCCCGGTGCTCCTCCCAGGGGCGAGCACACGCGCTCTACCTTGGGGTCCCTCTATCCCTGTGCCGGGCCGGGAGCCCTGTCCTCATCCGGGCCCCCGGGGCGGGAGCCCCCGCCCAGTGCAGGTGTCCTCCCTCCACGGCTGGAGGGCGCGCCCCTGAGTGCGCCGCTGGCCCCATAGCTGCGCGCCGGCGAGCTGGAGCCGCTGCTGGTGGCGGCCGGAGGCGGCGGTCGGGCCTACCTGAGGCGGCAGGATCGAGGCCGGACTCAGACCGCCCCCGAGAAACTGGAGAACCGCTCGGCAGCGCCGGGGAGCGGCGGGAGAAGCGGGGAGGCCTGGGCTGCGCTTGGCTGGGCCGCGGCCGGCGGCTTCGGGGGCGGCGGCGGGGCCTGCACTGCGGGCGGAGGCGGCGGCGGCTACCGGGGTAGGTGCACTCTTGGAGAGGGCAGTTGGGCAGTCCCGAGGGTGGAGTAAGGTGAGAACCTCAGAACGGGCCCCAGCCCTCGGAAGGATAGGCGGAAGGACAACACGGCTGCTTCAGGCTAGAGCAGGAACTCTTAGAAGAGAAGGTCAAAAAAACTGCAGTTCGCACGTGCAGACAGGACTCCCTGGATACTCATTTAAGTTTAGGATCTTCTCTAATCACTAGAGGTCAGCTCCTTTTTTTAGCGGCCAGGCAGTAGAGGGATCTGAACCCTTTGTCAGTGCTATTGTAACACCACACTCTAACCAACGGAGCTAACCCGCCAGCCCCCTCCTTGTCCAGGAACTTAGAGCTGGCTGAGTTAGCAGGCTGAGCAGAGAGGTAGAAAGGCAGGGATGGTTTAAGTCAGTAGTTCTCAAAGCGTGGTTCGTGAACCGCCTAAGAAGTTGTTAGAAATACAAATTCTCTTGAGGGAGGGGAGGGGGAAAGGGACGTTGGTCAAAGGATACAAAATTTCAGTTAGATAGGAGGAATAAGTTCGAGAGATCTATTGTACAACATGGTGACTAGGTAATAACGATGTACTCTTGAAAATTGCTAAGAGAGTAGATTTTGTGTTGTTGCCAGAAAAAATAAGTATGTGAGGTGGTGTATATGTTGATTGGCCCTAATTAGCCATTGCACAGTGTATACAACTTTAAAAACATCAGGTTGTACACAATATATACAATTTTAATTTGTCGACTAAAAAGTAATTAATTTAAACAAAGAAATGCAAATTCTCAGCCCCTCTCCAACCTACTGAATCAGAAACTCTAAGGGAGTGTCCCAGCCATCTGTGTTTTAATCAATCCTCTAGGTGATTCTAATGCACTCCAGAGTTTGGAAAGTACTGATGTAAAGAAACAGAGCCTTTGCATCTATAAATAGCTGTACTATTTATAAATACTTTACACCCATCATCTACGTTCTGGCAGAAATGGAATGTGGGAGTTGGGCCTCCATTTTATAGCTGAGGACATGGGACCAGAGGGGCTCCTCACCTATCTGGCCTCTCAGCTCCCACTTGTGAACAGACAGCACCTGTATGCTACTGTAGAGAAGGCCACACTGGGATTTCCACTGGAAGACTCCAGCTTCCCCACTGTTCATGAGCCAGCTTCCCCAGCTGTGAGGCAGCTGTGTGCCCCTCCCCACCCCCTCATTTTGTAGTCAAACCTTCTGTCATTCTCAATTTTCAGGGGGTGATGCCTCAGAGACTGACATCCTCTGGGCTGATGGGGAAGATGGGGTATCCTTCATACACCCCAGCAGTGAGCTCTACCTGCAGCCTCTGGCAGGTATTAGCCCCAACACGTCACCCTCTCAGCCTGGCCTAAACTTTTTCCTCAGTCCCTGGGCACATTTCCATAAGATCCCTCAACTCTGCCCTGTGAACTACCTAGTTCTTGTATACCACAGGAACTTTTGGGCTATCAGTTGTGATGCCAATGTGGGGCATTCTGAAATGTTTGTCAAGTCTCCCCTTGCTATGAATTCTCTTCAAACACTTAGGAGCTCAAGGTTCCCAGAAGAGGGAGTGTACAGGCTTGACAGACATCTCCCAGGCTCTCCACCACCCTTGTATTCTTGGTACTGCTCCTTGCTCTAAAGGCCTGGGCTAGAATTAACCATGTGGCTGGAAAAGGCATATATGTCCCCTCCCTGCCCTACCATATCAGTTCTTTTACTCACAGTCACAGAGAACCACGGAGAAGTGGACATCCGAAGGCACCTCAATTGCAGTCATTGTCCTTGGAAAGACTGCCAATGGCAGGCAGAACTCCATTTGGCTGAATGCATATGCCCGGAGGGCATGGAGCTAGCTGCGGATAACATCACCTGTATGGGTATGTCCTGCCTTTGCCCAAGGTATGGACTCCTGAGGTCACAGGCTGGGAGGAGCAGCAGGGCACCAGGAAAGATGGTATAGAGGCCTGCTGTGTGCCAGGCACTATGTTGGGTCAGAGAGGAGCTTGGCACTGGAGGTGTCTCTCTTTCTCTCTAGACCTGCCCACTCCCCCAGGCCCTCTGGTTCTGATGGTGGCTGTGGCGGTGACCTCAACACTGAGCCTTCTTATGGTGTGTGGGGTCCTGATTCTGGGTACGGAGCATCTAGCTGGAACAACTAATTCCACGCTGACCCCTCTCCACTGAGCTGTGATGGGCTTGTGAGGTCCCAGCGGCAGATGTGGCTCACTTCAAGACCCCTACTCCCTATAGAGCAGTGGTAGATTCCTCTGGGGCTTTAAGAATAGAAGCAGCTGGTGAGGCTTGGAGAAAATATTTACCCTAATGGGCATCTGGAGAGGTGTCCTGGGTGGGGGGGAGGCAGAGTGGGCCTGATGGGCAGGTAGAGGATGTGCCATTGTTCTTCTGACCCCAGTGAACCAGAAGAAGTGGCAGGGCCTGTGGGGGACAAGGCTGCCAAGCCCTGAGCTCGAGTTGAGCAAGCTTCGAACCTCTGCCATCAGGACAGCCCCCAATCCCTATTACAGCCCAATGGGGCTTGGCTCAGTCCAGTCCTGGCCTTTGCCCCCTGGGCTCACCGAGGTTTCCCCAACCAATGTCACTCTGCTCAGGTGAGTCTTCCACCTCCTTCTGAGAACCTATGCACTCCGAATCCTCTCCCTCTCCCCTACCTTGATCCAATCCTGTTCCCTGCTATGGTGAATCCCAGAGAGCATCTGGCCCAAACCCCTTGTGTAGGGGAGATGGAGGCCCAGAGAAGCTCCAAAAGAGGAAGTAACTTGTTCCAGGTCAGCTCTCAGCCCCAATTCTGGAATGGCAGGGATCTTAGAATATGAACTTTCAGAGCCCAAGGGTTACCTCTCTCCCAGGGCATCTGCAAGGTTGTAAGAAAGGCCTCGTCACAGACTCGCACCCTGACTCTGACCCCACAGCTGCCCTCTCTTTTGCCCTGGTTCTGTGCAAGTCAGCATCACCCTTGCAGGGCTTACTTATACTTGGAGACATGCCAGGATGCAGAGACCTCAGATAGGGTCAGCTGGGCATATTGACGTAGGGGTGGGGGGGAAGAAAGATAAAGTTGGTACTAGACCCTCTAGGACCTTTCTCCAGGCCACTCCTTTCCAACCTGTCTTCCTGCAGAGCCCTGGGCCACGGTGCCTTTGGGGAGGTGTACGAAGGATTGGTAATTGGCCTTCCTGGGGACTCCAGCCCCCTGCAGGTGGCTATCAAGGTGAGAGGAGGTGGGACTGCTGGCTGGGGGTAGGAGGGTGGGGCACCATGGAGGGAAGAACAATTGCTAGTGCTAGGGTAAACCTGCCTCCTGGGCATCCGGGGAAGCTCAGGAACTCTGTGCCCCTTTTTTCTCTCCAGACCCTGCCAGAACTCTGCTCTTGTCAGGATGAACTGGATTTCCTCATGGAGGCTCTCATTATCAGGTGCACCTGGCACTCGGGGAAGGGGTGGGAGGTGGGAGGGAGAAGCCTGCAGAGCTGACTGCAAGAACACCCTCCTTTCACCCTGGGGTTGAGAGGTAGCAAGTCTCGGGACACAAAGGTCCTCTCCACTTTTGTGGAGCCTAGAACATGGTTTATCTCCCTGCGGGTGATGGGGTATGTGCACCAACCCACTCAGCAAGTTCAGCCATGAAAACATTGTGCGGTGTGTGGGGCTCAGCCTCCGGGCTGCCCCTCGCCTCATTCTGCTGGAGCTGATGTCTGGAGGGGACATGAAGAGTTTCCTGAGGCACAGCCGGCCACACCTGGTAAGCCCTTCTCCCTGCCCTGCAGGCCCCTCTGAAGACCCTGTCCCTGTCCTTAGACCTGCATGGACTGATGTACCCTTTGCCTGACCCAGGGTCAGCCGTCCCCTCTGGTAATGCAGGACCTGCTGAAGCTGGCCCAGGACATAGCCAAGGGCTGCCACTACTTGGAGGAAAATCACTTCATCCACAGGTTGGAAGCAATCCTTCCTGGTTCAGGGGACCTCTAGCCCAACTCTCTCCCCAAGGAACAACCGTTCCATACAACTTTAAGGAAACAGATCAGGAAGGACCAGAGCTTCTTAGTTCTGGCTGTGATTTTTTTGCCCAACTCTACAGGGACATTGCCGCCCGAAACTGCCTGCTGAGCTGCACTGGGCCCAGCCGGGTGGCCAAGATTGGGGACTTCGGGATGGCAAGAGATATCTACCGGTGCGGGGCTTGGGGAGGTGGGAAGGCTGCTTCTCCAAGGGGGTTTACCAGCACTTTGGTGGTATCTGAACAACTCATCACTCCCCTCCTCCCTCCTATAGGGCCAGTTATTACCGCAAGGGGGGCCGGGCCTTGCTCCCAGTCAAGTGGATGCCCCCAGAGGCCTTCCTTGAGGGCATCTTTACATCCAAGACAGACTCCTGGTGATAACATACCCTCCCTTGCCCTGCCCTGCCCTGCAGCTAATCCTATCCTTTTCTGGGCCATCTCAGGTGAGAGAAGGGGAGGCTGTACCTGATTGGGCCTCACTTGGTTCCCTTATTCATGATGCAGGTCTTTTGGGGTGCTGCTCTGGGAGATCTTCTCACTGGGCTACATGCCCTACCCTGGACGTGCCAACCAGGAGGTGCTGGACTTTGTCATCGCAGGGGGCCGGATGGACCCTCCAAGGGGTTGTCCAGGGCCTGTGTGAGTTAAGAGTGCTGCCCAGGGAGGGACATCCTTCACAACCATGGGTAGGCACAAATTCCTGCCTCTCTCCAGGTACCGCATCATGACCCAGTGTTGGCAGCACCAGCCTGAGCTCCGCCCCAGCTTTGCCAGCATCTTGGAGCGCCTTCAATACTGTACTCAGGTGTGCCCCCTTGACCTGCCCTGTCCATCCTGGTCTTGGGGGTCAGGAGGGAAGCCATAATATAACTCTGTGGCTCCCTGCTCCCCCATCCTCCCATGACAGGATCCTGATGTGCTGAATTCATCCCTGCCAGTGGAGCTGGGGCCCACCCTGGAGGAGGAAGTGGCTTCTAGGCTGGGGAACAGGTCTTTGGAAGGCCTAAGATCCTCACAGCCCCAGGAACTGAATCCAGAGAACTTGAAAAGCTGGGGAGAGAGCCCTCTTGGCTCCTGGTTGTCCTCTGGCCCCAAGCCCCTCCAATCCAGGGTCCTCCAACCTCAAAACCTCTGGAATCCCACCTATGGCTCCTGGGCCCCAAGAGGCCCTGAGGGCGAGGACTCAAGCATTGATGGTTGCAATGGCTCCTCCCTGCCCTCCTTCGCAGGCTTCTAGGTGGCTTGTTACTCCAGTAGCCTGTGTCCCTTGCAGTCTGTGCTGTGTGTCTGGGTCTGTCTCAGAGCTGGCCTGGGAGCACTGGACTTTCCACGCTGGAAACCAGCCTTAGGTCTCCTGGGGAATAACCTAGCCATTTCTATCCTTTGATCTTTGGGACCAGAGGCCACCCCCCTACCCCAGGTTTCAGTGGGGAGTTCTGGATTGCCCTTCCCCCATGAGCATCCTTAATTTGTGCAGTCCCCAACCCTTCAGATGCTCCTAATAAAAAGTTCTCCTCAAATGCTTCAGTGATCTGAGTGGACATGAGGGATGCTGGAACTGAGGAAAAGAGGACCATAAGACGGAGGGGATTAGGCCTGAGTCACAGAAGCTGGGTCTTTGAGTTTTATTAGGAACGGAAGTCCATTTTAGTGTGGGAAGTTAAATTCATTAAATGGCCCCTCTGAAGAGGTGTGGGCAGAATCTCCTCAGATCTGGGAAGGAGAAGCCCATTGTCCCCCTCCCCTCCTGTAAATTAGTGTCATTTGGTTCTGGGAACACTGGGGCTCATGTGGGTGCCAACCTGGTGGTGCACCACCTTAGTGGTTGGCACCTGGCCCTGCAGAACCTTGTGAATGTCCCCACACCACAGCATTCCAGTCTCTCACAGGCATGCACGGTGAAGATGCAGCCACAGGTCCAGATCTGTCAGACCAGCTTGCCCACACCAGGACAGGGCCCAGCCTCATCTCTCAGCCAGGCTGGCCAGGATGCCAATGAGATTGTCCAGCCCCAGCAAATAGCCATCCTCGCGGTTGCCCTCCTCCCAGGGCCGCCGGTGGTCCAGGATCTGACCGTCGGGCAGGGGTGTGGTCTTGCCGAAGTCGATGAGCCACACGCCAGCGCGATGGCAGTGATCATGCACGAAGAGGAGTGAGCTGCCGATCACCTGCCAAGCCCCACACGGTCAGGCCACGGCCCTTCCCCCACCCTGCCTTTCTGACCCGAGCCCTCATAGACCACAGACCGAGCTCCTGAGCCCACTGGCCTCTTACCTCGTGCCTCCTAAAGAACTCGGAGACCTCCAGGGTGTCCCGGATCTGCTGCAGGCGGTTCAGATACCTTCTCTGGAGAGGCAAGGGGAGGGTAGGAGAAGAGGGCAAATTAAACGCTACTTGAGCCCTCGCTAACATTAGCCGCGATGCACTAGGGCTTGGCAAATACCTTTGTGAGGAAGACACAGGCCCACAGGGGGCATCTCCCAGAAGGGAAGGAACATAAAGGATTTACAACAGCGAAATAAATGCTACCATGGGGGTCATATAGGTGAGGGCGCTAGACTGGATAACCAGGGGGCACCCGTTGGTTTCAGGCTCCCCAATACCTCAGAGTTCTGGGATCCCGCGCTCACCAGCACTTCCCCATCTCCTTGCACAAACTCCTCAAAGACGCGAATCACCTGCTCCCGGCTCCGCGTAGTCTTGAAGTCAGTGCTGCAGGAGCCATCGGCTTTCTGAAGGATGTGGGACAGGAAGCGTCAGGGGTCCCGGACCCGCGAGGGGAGGGGGAGAATCAGGCAAGAGCAACAGTACCTCCTGGGACTTTGGCTGCTGGGGACAGCGAGACGGCCGCCAGAGGGCGTCTCTTGGCGGTGGGGCGGGGGCGGGGAGGGGTGAGCAACAAACGGAGAAGGACATCACGGAGAAGGACATCGCGCGGTGGGGCTGGGGTGGAGGAAGGGCCGAGGATTTGCAAAGAGGATAGGGTAGGAGAGGGGGGCAAATGACGCGGGCCTGGTCCACCTTGATGCCCTCGATGCGGAAACCAAGCGTGGTGCTGGAGCTGATGCCTTCCCGCCACTGCATGTAGCGCGGCTTGGTGACTGCGCGCTGAGCGTGCTCCTCCTCGGTGGGCGCCGCAGGGTCTACTGCCAGCATCTTCTTGTACATGTCTTTCCGCAGCTTGGGCCGCTCTCGGGCCTTGGTCAGTTCCTCCTCCAGGTAAGTCCTGTGGGGACGCAGGCAGCGGCCAGAGCTTGAGGGGTGCACACCGGGAGCCCACAGACACTCGCCCTTGGTACCCCGTCGAGTGCTTGTCCCGTCTCCGGGTCCTCACTCGGTTCCCGCGTACCTGACGCCCATCTTGCAGTCAAGCACGCAGGGCCCTTCGAAGCCGTCGAGCAGGTCCTGCAACTGTAGGTAGCTCTCGCCGTCGCGCTCCACCACGCCGTGGAAGGCCGGCACGCAGCCGCGCAGCGCGTCCGCCATCAGCCGCGCCAGGCAGTAGCGCTCTGGCTCGGAACTGCGCTTCAGGATCAGCCCGCTTGTGCCCGCCGCCTTGAAACTCCCTGCGGACCGGCACCAGTTAGCGCTGCCAGCCGGTTCCTGTCCCGGGCACCTCCCCTCCCCACCCGCGCCCGCCCGGGTGCTTACCCGTGTGCCCCGCCAGCTGCACCCAGGCGTAGCGCTTCTTGAAAGGACTCATGACGGGCAGATTCACCATAGTCCGGATCTTCTGCCAGTGGCTTTTCTGAAAGCGACACGGTCCCGGTCTGCAAGTCGGCGTCTCAGCAATGCACAAGCCCTCCTTCCTCTGGAACAGGGTTTCGCCCTGCCCCGACCCACCGGAAGCAGCTAGGGCTGGATGATTCATTCATTCATTCGTTCGTTCGTTCATTCGTTCAGGAAAAGCGTATTTTGCGCCTGTGTGGCGGAGGCTCAGGCAGGCACAGAGAAGGGGATTCCAGCTTCACGAATGAGCTGAAGAGAGCTCTGGACTTAGAGTCAGAAGGCTGAGGTTTGGACCCAGCTCTGCCACTCAAAAACTGCGTGGGCAGGTTACTAAACTGCTTTGTCGAGGTTTCTGAACTTTTGTGAGCACCAGATTCACCTGATGGTCACCCTTGTTAAAAAATGCAGATTCTCAGGTCTACCGCAGGGAAATTCTGAGTAGGTCTGGGGTGGGGCCAATATGTGTATTTCTATCAATGCCTCAGGAGATTCTGGAGCTTGAGAAACAAGCTTTTGTGCGTCAGTTTAGTCTATAAAATGGGGAAATAACTACCCTTACTGGGTGGTTGTGAGTAGTAAATAAGACTTGAGTGTTACCAGCGCCCAGCTCCCCCATCTCATTCCTTGGCATGAAGCAGAAGCTGGTCAAATCTGTATTACTGATTCATTTACTTGGGACCTTGGTTCCTCTCATTTAGGGAGACAGACAAACACAGAAACAAACCTTCACACAGGCCCATGGCACAGAGGCCAGCCCGGCAGGACCAGGAGAAACAATGTGTGGGGCTCTCCCAAACTCTCTTGCTGTCCCTTGATTTAATGCCCTTCTTGCTAGTTTGCAAGGCCCAAGGAAGCCTTGGTTCTGATCTGGACCCAGAACCCTGAGCCCTGAAAATGGGATGCAAAACTGAGGACCTGTTATCTGTGACAAAACTGGGAGGGTAATATAGATTTTTTGGTATATACTTGCCTCATGACAATTGCTTCTGGCCCCCACCCAATCCTCTTCTTCTTTTTCTTCTTCTTTTTTTTTTTTTTTTTTTTTTGGCTGGTGGGTAAGGGGATACAAACCCTTGACCTTGGTGTTAGAAGTCTGCACTCTAATCAACTGAGCCAGCTGGCCAGCCCCTTCACTCAATCCTGACAGCATCTAATACCCTGAACCTTTCCTCTTCCCACCCAAAACTTGGCAGTCCTGTGTCTACTCTCTGAAGTGCACAGGTTTGCTCATCTAAACTGTGTGTCTGCTGCCTCCTCCCAGGGGTGCTTGCCTTTTAGAGGAGTTATGAATGCATGCCCCCATAGGACTGGAGCCCAGGAAGAAGAGGGAGTTCTAAGAGGGAGAGGGAGAACTGAGGAGGTGGCCTAAATAGGGGGAGGCTGCTGACTGTAAAGCCCTTTCTCATGGGGAGGAGATGGGGGTTAGTGACAGAGCACTTGGGGAGTCAGCAGCTGGTTCCAGTCCTAGCTCTGTCACTTTCTAGCTGAGTGAACCCAAGAAAATACTGTCAGCTGTGTGGGTCTGTTTCCTCTGGGAGGACACAGCTGCTGCCATAACATGAGCCACCATTTACTGACTACCTACTGCGTGCTAGACACTTTCTCATCTTCCATCAGACATCATTGCTCCTGCTTTCCTGCTGAAGTCCCTACGTGACATACTAGGGTGAGATCACGTGTCCAATCTCTGAGGACCTGGGGGTGTAGCCAGAAGCAGCCCACTAGAAGCATGACATCTCTATCAAAACTCCTTTTTTAAATCTTTAAATACATACAAGGTTTGCATTCTGCTGCATAATAAGTCTAAGTTTTATAATAAAACTCCCCACCTCCAAATCCTCAAGTAAAATTCCAGGAAGATGACATATGTGCCATGTATATTCAGCAGCACCATCCTGTACCCCCTTCTCCTATACTCAGCTTGAGAATCATGGTGATGATGATGATGCACATACACATCAAGCTCACTAGGTAGTATTACTCCCATTTTACAGAAGGAAATCAAGACTTCAAAGATTAGCATCCCCTCACTCTCTGCCTCCAGCCTCCCAGTCTCTGGCCAAAGCTCTCTACCAGCTCAATTCCCTCCCCATGTTCCAATTGTTCCAGCAGGTTCCATGCTACCATCCTACGTCCCTTTGGGGGTCAAATGGGACAGTATGTGAGAAAGCTTTGAATAACATGAAGCACTGTGCAGCCATAAGGTGGTGTAAGTGTTTTGATCTCTGAGGAAGCACTGAGATCCACCTGGAGATCCCTCTCTACTGACTGGACACCTTTGCCTTCATCCAAAGGGATGGGTTTAATGGTGTGGGTTTCAGGCAGCTTTACAGACCTGCTAGCAGAATTTGGGGGATACTGGGACAAGAATGAACTTAGTAAAAGGATACATCTAGTTCTGTAACAATCCCAGTGAAAGAGGGAACCAATTCTGGGTTTGATGGGATGAGGAAACAGCAGCATTCTTCCTCCTGGAATCATGTGAAAGCAGTGAGGGGTGCTGGAGGGGGAAAGGTAGGCCAGGAGGATTTGATGTGGTGTCTGAATACCTGGGCTTCCACCACTTGATTAATGTGTGGTAACAGCATCAACTTGCTCCCAAGCTGAGGTAAAATGGGGCCATCACGTACTCTCCCCACTCTGCTTCTGTGAATCTCACATGAGACACGAACAGCAGCAACTAAGGCTGGTTCTAGCTGTGCAGGTTACAAAGGGCTTTCATACCCTTGATCTCATCGGAGTCCTCCCAACTACCTTCTGAGGTTGCTATGCCAGGATTTAGCTCCCCTACTAGTAGTAATGGATATGGTCAAGCATGGAAGGAGCTGATGCAAGTGTCATCAAACTCAACTCACCACCATCTTCCGTCTTAGGGAGATACCTCCCTCAGGGAACATAATGCATTTAAAAATGAACGTATTCACAAAGGCTCCTGAAGAATCATTCTTTGGTGGGTGGGTGGAGATTTTGGCACACGAACAACAACAGGGAAGATATTTTTGAGCAGGTGAGACTTTTATTATATGGATATCAGAAAGCAGATTTATTATGTTACAGAGTGAATCTAGCTGCCGAGGGGACCAAAGCCCCATCCTCTGGCCCAGTCTTCCGTCCATGGAAGTGCTGTCCCTGGGAAACCAACACACAGCCAGAGGCTACCTGGGCATCTTGGGGCAAATGCCAGAGGTGCTGACTATGTGACAGAGTTTTTGATGAAGAGACAGCGGGACCCACTGATAATCCCTCACCTCTAGAGCTGGACAGGGAGTATTTCTCCCTGGGCAGGCATTGGCTGGGTACCAGCCTCAGACCTTCCTTTGTCCAAGCTCCATTTGGAAGCTTTCAGAGCACCTGCTCCTTGTATCACACCAGATACTCAGGTATTCCCAGCTACAGCAGTCCCTTTGCTCTCTCTTTGGCATTCACCCCTGCTCCCTGCCTTTAGTCATCCAGTCTCTGGTTGAAGTTCTACCAGCCCAACACCCTCTCCATGTTCCAATTGCCCTATCAAACTAGCACTCCCTGCGGTGGTGGTGGTGGTGGTGGCAGCGGTGGGGAGAACAACCAGTTTAAATTTATAAAATGATTTGCACTAAGGTATAAGTGACCTGCGACTTCACCTTCCCATGGGCATTTGCTTTTTAAAAAGGAAGACTGTTAACCTAAATTCTGCTCTATAATTAGTGGAAAGTTATGTGTGGGAATTCTGAAACCAGGAGGGAATGGCATCCAGGTCTCCTTACCTATCCTAGAGCACAGAGAGAAGAAAACCAGATGAACAGGAGACAAACACCCCCACAACTGTTTTAGGAAGCAGTCAAGGCCTAAGAATAGTCCAGCTGCCCTTGGAAGAAGGCCTCTAACTCCTCTCCTGCCGGTGACTCTTCTTTCTACCAGAGGAAAGGTTCCTGGAGGGGGTGAGGCTGCCCAGTCCCCATTACCCTGCTCTGGGCAGGCTATACAGGGCTCCTAGGAGGTGAAGGGGAGGGGTGTGTGCGAGGGTAGAGGTAGGCTGAGAGAGCCTTCCTGGACCGGTCTGCCCAGGCTGGAGTGGAAGGGGCTAGCAAGCTGGGAGCCCTAGAGTGCAGGAGCAGCACCCTTCCACAAGATGCATCCTTCCCAGTCAGCAGTAAGTCTCTGCTTCCTGCCTGGGGAAGCCCTAAAGGAGGCCTGGGCGGGCACGTTGAGCTGCGAGGCAAAGTCCGCTCTGGGCCCTTCCACTCCGACGCAGGCAACCTGTCAACAGCCCCTGGCTTATCTGCCGCCTCCGTGGCTGTTTGCCTTCGGGGAGGCCCCAGCGGTCTGGGGGTTGGGAAGGCCCGGAAGACTCAGCCTTGGAGCTGGCAGGTCCCTCAGTGGTCATCTGCACCAGCTCCTGGCGGTGCTGGGAGACGGCTAGGCCCAGCGTGTGAGAGGCTGACCGAAGACCCCCAGGGCACAGCTATAGCTGGTCCTCGACTCGACCCCAGCCGGGGCTGCCTCTTTTGCACGCAGGCTTGGACCGCGGGACCTCCTCCTCGCGCAGTCCCTACCTCCCTCGGGCGCTTCGCCCTGTCCCTGCAGGCGGAAAAGGCAAGCGGGGCAGGCCAGCGTCCTCAGCGCCCCCACTTGTAGCGCCCTTTCTCCTGAGCTCGACTCTCAGGTGTCAGAGATTCGAGTGGCGGAGCAGCCCATCCAGAGCTACCTCTAAGGCTTTTCCGACAGGAGGGATCCTCCCAATGCCCCCCCTATTCCACCGTCTTGGAACACCGTCCTCGGCGACATTCGCCTCCCCACATAGGCCAGGGTTGCCCCAGAAACAATCACCAGTCAGGGGTTACCCCTACCCGTCGGGGGAGGAGAGAGGGACGCAGCAGGCTCGTCGTGACTGAGCCCCCGCACCCTATCCCTGGTGGCGGGGATTGTTCCTCCTCTGTGAGACATTTTATTTATATTTATTTATTTATTTATTTTGTGGCTTAGAAAACCCAGAGGGCGGTGGGGTTTCTAAGTCTCGGGGAGTCACTGGGTCACGGAGCCACTGCAAGTCGTTACAGTGTCTCCTCCGCCTCGTCCAATCCGAGTGTGCGGCGGAGCGCAGGTCCAGGAGGCCCAGACCGCGCCCAGCACTTTCCCCACAGCGTCCAGGCAACCCCGACGCGCGTCTGCGGATCTCACCGCCCAGTCGCCCGGACTCGGCCTCTGGGCAGGCCCGGAGACAACGGAGGCCGCGGGGCGCGCCTTGCCTCTTGCTCCTCTACAGGGACACTTGCGTAACGTGGGTCTAGAGCAACTCCTTCGCGCTGACCGCGGGCAGTTACTTAAAGTGTCTTGCCTTGGTTAAAACGAGGGGACAAGGCGACTGTCTCGGGAGCCGCACACCTCTAAGGGGTGGGCACCGGGAATGACTTCTCCGCACCCCGGCCTGGGTTATCTGAGGGTCAAACCTAGCCCCGGAACATACTGGCTACCGGAGTCAGAGACTAGCAGGCTGATCCCGCCCCCTTTCGGCCTCAGTTTTCCCTCCCACGGGCCAGGTTTAGGAGCAGTAAGCCGGGGAGACTGGAGCGTACACCGGGTGGGCTGCGTTCCTCTCCCGGTCAGGGATCCCGGCTCCGCGCCCCTCCTTTCCCTGCGTCCACGCCTCGTGCGGGCGCCGGGAGCAGACGGCAGCGGCTCCCGAGCAGAGCCTGGAGCGCCGCTTCACTCCCACTCAGGAGAGGGAAACCGTGGCAACGGCGGGGGTGGGGCCGCGGCACGGGAGAGGAGGCGGGGAGCGAGGGAAACGCTCGTTCGCCCCTCTCCGAGGGTTCACGGGCGAGGCTGAGCCCCTCTGACCTCTCCAGTCCACCTCACCGTCAGCAGGTACGCTCCCTCCGCCCCGCCCGGTCCCCGTGGCTGGTCGTGTACTCTTCACCCTTTTTCTTAGACGCCCCAGGACCCTGGCCGCGACCCGCCTGTGAAGCCGGGGTGAAAACTGCCAAGGCGAGAGGTCGGCCTGGAGCTTCCCTCTGACCCCCATGTTCCGCCTAAACAGTGAGGATCAGGCCCACCGCGGAGGGAGCTCGCGACAGGAGTCGGTCCTTCCAGAGCTCAAAGCTTGGTCCCCAGCGCGCAGCCCCCACGCCCGGCGCTGGCCCCGCCCCCGCGGCCCGTACCTGACCCACGTCCTCGCTCGCTTCCAGCTGCACGTTGCCTCGGCTCCGGCTCTCGCTGTCGCTCAGCAGGTCGTCCTCCGAGTCCTCGAGCAGCGACGAGGAACCAGTGGAGGAGAGAGACGAAGTGGAGAGGCGGCGCGGCTGCTGCAGGTGCGACGAGCAGTCGCCCTCTGGCTCAGGCGGCCCAGGGCTGGCCGGGGATACGTCCGGCTCCTCGGCTGTCACGGTCAGCTGCGGGATCACCGGGGCAGGGGGAGCCCGCGGAAGCCCATTAGGGACCTGTCCCCCACGCCGCTTGGCCCCACGGG